GATCCTCAGTTGGAGAAAGTTTTATGACACCACATACAGCCTGATGCCAGGAGCACCCATCTCAAGCTAGAGGTATGGGTCTTATGTATCTGCACGGAAACAGACTCATACTCTAGGGTTAGCTGTCTATTTATTGGACCAGAAACCTCTTGAAGGCAAGGACTGTACTCTGTACCTCTTTTTATCTTTTTTTTTTTTTTTTTTTTTTCCTGAGACAGCCTCGCTCTGTCCCCCAGGCTGGAGTGCAACCTCTGCCTCCTGGCTCCAAGCGATTCTCCTGCCTCAGCCTCCTGAGTAGCTGGGATTACATGCATGTGTCACCACGCCCAGCTAAGTTTGGTATTTTTAGTAGAGATAGGGTTTCACCATGTTGGGCAGGCTGGTCTCGAACTCCTGACCTCGTAATCCGCCCGCCTTGGCCTCCCAAAGTGCTGGGATTACAAACATGAGCCACCGCGCCCGGCCTATCCTCTTTTTATCTTAAACTCTCATTGTGATTGGTAAGCTGAACTTCAATTAAGCAGATAATACAGAAAACTCAGATAACCTGGCCCCACTCTTCTTTTCCTGCCTTAGCATTGGTTCTTTATTCTGCAAGTTTTATGAGAACAAAGACTTTGTCCTACTAATTTTTTCATACTTTTTTCTTTTTTATCTTTCTCTTTATTCTGACACATTACGGCTTTAAATACATTTCTTTTTTCTTCTTCTTTTTTTTTTTTTTTCTTTTTTTTTTTTGAGACGGAGTCTCACTCTGTCGCCCAGGCTGGAATGCAATGGCGTGATCTTGGCTCACTGCAAGCTCCCCTTCCCGGGTTCAAGCGATTCTCCTGCCTCAGCCTCCCAAGTAGTTGGGATTACAGGTGTGAGCCACTGTGCCCAGCTGCACTGGGCTTTTTTGAGGTTGCAGTGGGTATCTTGTTTTCATCGTCAGTCAGGACATCAGGTAAATCAAGCTCTTAGCTCAGAGCACATAGGTGGATAAGGAGCAGCAGTGCAAAGGCCACCCAGTGCCAGGTACATCCTTAGCCATGAGGGGCAGTCCCTAGAGTGGTGCATGCAGCCAGCCACAGCAGGAGGGATCCCTGTTCAGGATGGGTAGGAGCCAGCAGTGGAGTCTACCTTCTTTAGACTGGGAATGGAGATGCATGACCCCACCATGGAAATGAACTCACTCATTCCCATGAGAGAACAGGAATTGGAGTGACCAGACAATCAGAAAACTGACCTGCCAGACTCAGTCACACGTTCGATCACCTGGGGAGTTTTATAAACTCTCAACACAGGGGCCACATCCTCAGCCAATCACATCATTGCCTCAGGGTTGGACCCCAGGCATTGCTTTTTAAAACATATTGAAAAAACTCCTCAAGTGACTCCAACATGTAGAAAAATTGGAAAATGAAGCTCTAAAGAAATGTCGGATGTGGTGAATGGATCATAGAGAACCATGATTTAAATTAAATGGGCAGGTTGTATCAGCAACACATTTTCTGTGTCTGGAGAAGGATGTTGGACTCAATCATCTAAACGGAGAACCACTACCCACCCAACGTCCACTTCTTGAATTAAACGGGAGTCTGTGTACATTCGATGGTAGACTCAAGTTTCTACCTCAAGGAATCTTTCTCCTAAAGGGACCTGGGTGAGGCAGGATAGGTAGTCAAGAAGGTGACCATATCCTCCAAACACAGCACCGGCGGGGACCGTACAGCCAACACAATAAGCCCCAGCCTTCACTTTCTAATTGAATTCATTCACACAAAGCCATCTGCAAAGGAGAGTTTTCCCTGTAGAGAGCATGAGCATTTTGATTTTACCTGTTCACAAACTGACCCTTTGCTCATTATAATAGTAAAAATACACCCCTGGATGGAGACTTAAGATGCTAAAGAGACATGTGCACAGCTACGGCCCCTGTGTGCCCAGAGGACCACCCAGAACAAGCTTACTAGTAATGTAGCAGGACACGCCACAGACAAAACTCCTCAGACACCAGATTAAAGAAGGAAGAGCTTTTTTATTCAGCTGGGAGCATCGGCAGACTCACGTCTTAAGAGCCAAGCTCCCGGAAAAAGAAATTCTTGGCCTTGTTAAAGGCTTACAACTCTAAGGGGTCCATGTGAAAGGGTTGTGACAAATCGAGCAAGCGTGGGAAACGTGACTGGGGGCTACATGCATCAGCTAACAGAACAGAAAGTTTTACAATGCTTTTTTCATGCAGTGTCTGGAATTTACAGATAACACAAGTAGTTTAGGTCAAGGGTTGATGTAATAATTATTATTACTTTTTTTTTTTAACTCCTAGGGCTGGTGGTGGTGCCAAGGTTGTCTGGCTATTTATCTTACTTTTGTTTCTTTATAACTTTTTGTTCTCTCTCTTTCCCCCTGTCTTGTGAACTAGGCAAGGTGAGGGGAGGAGGACGGCAGGAGGGGTAGTGGTCTCCTTCCTTAGTAACACCTCTTCCCACCCCCTTGTGTGTGATCATCCGAGACTCCCATAAAGAGGAGTCTCCCTTGAGCAGGTCTTTGCTGTCTCATCCTCAGGAGCAGCCAGCCCTGAATCCTTGCTCCCAGGATGTCCTGTCTATTCCGCACTTAACTTTCAAAATACCCTATTTCCTTTGCAATCAGTTGCTCTATGCTGCATCTCTTTACTGTGTGTCTCTTGAAGAAATTCCTTTAAATTAAGATGACAAGAACCAAAGTCTTACAAAAGTGGCCTTTAATAAATGAATCCAGCCTATTCGGGAAGGGACCTCTCCAGACCTCTGCAGATTGCAGGACTCCACCTGTCAGCTCAACCAGCCATCCATAAAATGCCCTCCAAGACCAGCAGCATCAGCACCACCTAAAATGCACATTCTCAGGTGATCCCAAACAAGTAAAACCTGAGAAATTGTCACCAAGAGGATCCTAGGGAGACGTGACGACTCAAGGCAATGTGGTGACGTGGATGGGGAGGAAGGAAGAGGAGGGCATTGTGTAAACTCTAAGGAGGCCTCAATAAGGTATAGCCCTTAGATCACAGCAATGTATCCAGTCAGTTCATCGCTTGTGGCAAATGTGCCATACTAATGTACCATGTTAACAATAGGGGAGGCCGGGCACGGTGGCTCACACCAGTAATCCCAGCTCTTTGGGAGGCTGAGGTGGGCGGATCACTTGAGGTCAGGAATTCGAGACCAGCTTGGGTAACATGGTGAAACCGCATCGCTGCTGAAAAAATACAAAAATTAGCTGAGTGTGGTGCACACCTGAAGTCCCAGTACGTGGGAGGCTGAGGTAGGAGAATCGCTTGAACCCAGGAGGTAGAGGTTGCAGTGAGCCGAGATCACGCCTCTGCAGTCCAACCTAGGTGACTGAGTGAGACTCCATCCAAAAAAAAAGAAAGAAAAGAAAAGAAACAAAAGAAAAGAAAACAAACACATAAAAATATAGGGAAAATGGTGTGGGGACAGTAGGGAGCTCAATGGACTTTAGAAAGCTATTCTAAAACAAATTTTATTTTATTTTATTTTATTTTATTTTATTTTATTTTTATTTACTTATTTTTTTGAGATTGAGTCTGGCATTAACTCGGCTCACTGTAACTTCCGCTTCCCAGGCTCAAGCAATTCTCCTGCCTCAGCCTCCTGAGTAGCTGGGATTACAGGCACTTGCCACCACGCCCAGCTAATTTTTATATTTTAGTAGAGACAGGGTTTTGCCATTTTGGCCAGGCTGGTCTTGAACTCCTGACTTCAAGTGATCTGCCCACCTCAGCCTCCCAAAGTGCTGGGATTACAGGCAAGAGCCACCGCACTCAGCCTAGGAATTTCACGTTTTAATGCACCCTCTCAGGCCCCACCCCCAGCCTACTAAATCAGAAGCTCTGAGTTTGGGGCCCACTCATCTCTGGATCAACAAAGCCTTCAGGATATGGTACTATCACTAAGACCAACTGGTCCCCAGAGACTCCCAATGCCTCTGTAGTCCAAGAGTCAAATCAGGAATTTAGAGATTGCCAAATTTAGACCAAAAAATACACAATCCAGGACAGCAACATAAATAGGCACAGCAGAGAAGATTCGAGGGGCAGTGAAAATAGCCCCCATGATACTCCAATGGTGGATACTCATGAGGCCTTTGTCCAAACCCACAGGATGTACGACACACAGAGCGAGCCCTAATGGACACCATGGACTCTGAGTGCTGGTGATGTGTCTGGGCAGGCTCACTGATGGAACAGATGCACCGCTCTGCTGGGGCTGCTGGGCGGGGAGAGGCTGTGCTGTGTGGGGAGGGAGTCTAGGGGAACTCTGTGCTGTCCACTGAATTTCCCTGTGAACCTAAAACAGCTCTGAAAAAGAAAGTCTAGAGCCAGGCGTGCTGGCTCACACCACACCAGCCTGGGCAACAAAAAATCCCATCACTACAAAAAAATTTCAAAAAATTTGAATATCATAATTATAATAAAGCCTAATAAAAACTATACAGGGCACAGCAGCTCATGCCTGTAATGCCAGCATTTAAGGAGGCCAAGGCAGGTGGATCATCTGTACTCGGGAGTTCAAGACCACCCTGGGCAACAAGGCAAATCTTCATCTCCACAAAAAACACGAAAATTAGCCGAAGTGGTGGTATGATCCTGTAGTCCCAGCTACTTGGGAGGCTTAGACGGGAGGATTGCTTGAGCCTGGAAGGTCACGGCTGCAGTGGACGATGATCCTGCTACTGCAATCCAGCCTGGTTGAGAGAGGGAGACCCCATCTCAAAAAAAAAAGAATAGGAAAAAAAAAAAAAGAAAACTGTTTAGGATACCAAATAAAAGCTGAGTTTGAGAAAAATAACGAATAATTTAGAACATGGTGATACTAAAAAAATGTTTTACTGAAACCCACATTTTCCCAGGCATATTGTGTATTTCATCTGGACACCCTCCTTGGACAATTGTACTTTACAGCAAAACAGTGGGTAACAGCATGTCCCTCAGGAGACTCCGTTTTTTGTTACAAAATATTGAAAACTAATAAGATGTTTGTTTATTGAAAGAACAGCAACACAAACCAAAATAAGCCTATAACAATAGACATAATAAAACAAAAACCAGAATTCACTGGGGAGGAAAAAAATTTAAACAAACATCCTGGGAATTCCTGTCTAGGGCACCCCTGTGTGTGCCAGGCGCCCTTCGTGTGTCAGATGTCATCTGATAACATCGGTGAGAAGTCATCATTCACATTTTCTTGGTGCAGAAGACGACCCGAAGACGAAGTCACTGTGAAGTGGTTTCCGGATGTGTCTTCTGGTGGCGTCTTAAGGTTGCAGGCCGACCGAAGGCTCTTGAACACTTGGGACATATGTAAGGTCTCTCTCCGGTGTGGGTGCGCTGGTGCTCCTTCAGATTCGCCTTGTAGGTGAAAACTTTCTTGCAGTCTTTACATTCGAAGGGCTTCTCCCCTGTGTGGCTTCTCCTGTGACACTTCAGGTAGGACTTCTGGGTGAACTGCTTCCAGCAGATGTCACACGCGTAGGGCCTCTCGCCGGTGTGGGTTCGCTGGTGAAATTGGAGGCCTATGTGCTGCCTGAAACGCTTCCCACAGAGATTACATTGAAAGGGTCTCTCTTCTGTGTGTGATCTCTTGTGGGTGGCTAGCTTGCTGTGATATTTAAACCTCTTACTGCACACCTCACATGCAAAGGGCAGCAGTTCCTTAACTCCTTGGCCATCGGGGTGAATGACCAGGCCCGCAGGGTCCAGGGAATGAACTGGATTGATCTCAGCTTGTCCCGGGGATTCTCTGTGGCCCACAGGTGTGGCTCCTCCTTGAGGCTCTGCTTGGGAAATGGAGGTGGCATCTGGTTTGCTTCTTTTGGGGCCTCTCAGATTCAGAGCCTCTCCTCTGTTCCGGCTGTGAGTCGAAGCTTCTCTCTCCACAACGCAGGCAGAACGTGTGTCGGCATCCACATTTTCCACAGAGGCTGTTTTTGGGGGTTCCTTCCCCTTCTTTGCTCTCACCAGATCTGCTGGAAGAAGGGATTCCACACACAACAGTTAATAAAGCGCATTTTCAATACACCAAACTCATTGCAACCAAACACTGACCTTGTGTGAGAACTTCCCCTCAAGCTCAAGCTTAAGACATTGGACCGTAGGTCTCTGGAGAGTGGGTGGTGGAGAGGCTTTGGCAGCTGAGTGCCAGCTCCCCCAGACATGATAACGCTGGGACCCCACTCCTGCACGCCAGAATAGAGGGGCTATCTCCACACAGGTCTAAGTCTTCATACTTACTAGGACCATTTGGAAGCTGAGGCTCTGGGGGTGTAAGTCCTGGGTGTTCCTCCCTGTCTTCCTCCAGGTCCTTCTCCAAGGTCGGCTTGGGGCTCAGAGCCTTTGGGTCACCTTTCATGACATTAGTCTCTGGAAGCAGGAAGTCCTCCTCCTGACAATGAAAAACCAAGAGCAATGACTCCGTGTCTAAACTGGGGGAAGTTTAGGCATCTCTACCTTTTCCTGATTGAATGCACCAACATTCAAAACCACCACACCAATGATACAGGTGTGGTGGTTTTCACTCTTTGGTTCTCTGAGCATATTTCTTCCTGCCCTGCCAACGTCTCCCTGCCCCTGAGGCTGGAAGGAGCATGACTCTAGGTGGAGACCCCTCAGCCCTGGCACCACTGGCACTGGGGCTGCATCACCCTCCTGGAGGGGGCGCTCCTGTGCAGAGCAGAGGCCCCGCCTCCACCCTCTAGATGCTACTAAAACCCCACCACCCCCGAGAATACCAAACAAAAGTGTCTCCAGACATGGTCATATGTCCGGAAAGGCAACATCACCAGTTGAGAAACATTCCTCAAATTAAGAAATTGACAATCTGTAGAAAGTGGGTTCCTTGCTGAATTATTACATGAAATGTCTTTGAGGTAACTGGCTATGGGGAAGGGATCTTCAGTTCATTCATCTGTGCCAACTGCCTCCCTCACTTCACTGAGATCATTTCTTACCCCCCACCCTAAATGCTAAAAGCTCTCATGGTGGAGGGAAAAGTAGATGAGGTTTTCCACTCTGTGATGGTTCAGGAATGAATGTTTGGGGATGTACCATGTCCATGGGGAATGGTTCTAATCTTGTCCTATGCCAAATCTGTCAATCAGTCCTGCAGTCACACGACTTCCTCCTGCTCCTTCTCCCACCTCTGCCCAGACACCAAGGCCTCACACACTCACCTGCCTCCTGGACGGTGCAGGAACCCTGGGCAGGGTCTGCAGCTCTCGGCGGGCCTGGCCTTCCCATGGACGCACCAGCTTCACAGAGAAGGCCCGCTGGCTGGACACGTCTCTCAGATCATCCCTGACACTGGCGGGGCCTTCAGCCATCTTGACATCTGAGTCCTGAATGAGATATTCCTTGCCGAGCAAGTTGACTACAGACTGTAGAGGGAAAAAAGACAATCAGACTCACCATGAGAACCTGAAAGTAGCTCTCATGTACCCTGGGTCCTGCCATAATGCTCACACTTGACTGTAATTAATGTTCAAATCTGCCTTCCCGATGCAGAGTCAGCTCTGTGGATACAGCAATCCTGTCTGAATTTTTTCCTCTCTAGACTCCAGCACCTGCCTGCACCTGGAATTTTCTAGATAAGTACACAAATATGGGTCCTTTAGATGAAAGAGTCTAAACCAAAGAGAAGACAGGGAGAAATATTCTGGGTGAATCCAATGCAATTGGCTGATGGCAGCTCACCTTGTGTTAGAACTTAGGGGCTCATATGGGGACCTGGAGGCAGATCCCTGGATCTCTGATACCAACCACTTTCCCTGCCTCAGGATGGGACTTCTGGGCCCCCCTTCAGTTCACTCTAATGCCTCCTCCCCTACATTCCATCAGGCATTGTATTTTACCAACGTCTTTCTTTCATGTTGGCCTCACAGTGTGTGGGTCCCTGTATTCCCTCTGCCTGTCCATCGCCTACACCAGGAATTGGCCATCTCAGCACAGCTGATATTTGAATCTGGATGATTATTTGTCATGGTCGGTTGTCCTGAGCTTTGGAGAATGCTTAGCAGCATCTCCTGTCCTCCCCGTTGTGACAACCAAAAACTGTCCCCAGACACTGCCATGTGTCCCTGACGGGCTAACTCTCCTCTACTTGGAAGCCCCGACCTAGAGCAGCCCCTCGGGTCCTCTCCAGTCCAGATGCACCGTGCAGCCCCCATCCCAGCTCCCCTTCCCTGAGCCAATCAGGAGCGTCCCACTCACCCATTTCTTGGGTCTTCTGTGATTTCGTAGCAGGTCCTCCAGGTCTTTGCAGCTCTGCACGTCGTTCACCTTGACTAAGACCTGGAGCTCCTGGGGCATGGAGATCATGAACTGCTCCATCACTAGCATGTCCAGGATCTGCTCTTTGGTGTGGAGGTCGGGCCTCAGCCACAGATGGCACAGCTCAGTGAGTTTCCTCAGAGCCTGGATGGGGTCCGAATCCTCCGGGCAGCTGAACATCCTGAAGTTCACGTGAGAAATCTCAGGGTCCATGTTGTAATTTCCAAGTTGAGTTCCCAGGGATGCCACAGACCATGGAGTCTCTGACCTAGGTCTGTTGCAGGGTTCTCTCAGACCCCATGAGGGTGTGCAATTTGCAGCCATATCTACAGGAGAATATTTCAATCAGCCTCTGGGAAAGCTCTTCCGGTAGCTGGTATCTAATTGCGACCTATCTACACAGATCGCCCCTGGTTTTTCTCAGTAACAGATTCACTGTTCCTTCAGAAGTCTGCAGGGAAAAAAAGCATGAGCTCTATTAGTTGAAGTTTCTACTCTACCCACCCCTCCCTTCCAAATCCCTCATCCCAATCCCAGACCCCATTTCCTCTCTAGCATTGGACTCAGCACCATGGAAATGAATCCACTCTATTCTTCTTCCAGTGTCTACACCTGACTACATGTTCTGGAGTAAAACCTGAATGCTCCCCTGGATCTGATCTCTAGGGGATCATTGTGCAAAGGCTGAATTGGTTTTCCTGCCCATCGAACAACATTGTTTTTGACTGTAAATCAAATAGGACAGTAATGTGAAGCGCCTAAAATCTGATGCAACAATCATGTCAATTATTTATGTTTTCTTATCAAGATAAGATCCAAGGCAAATCCTTAGTCATAATTATGCAATAAGACAAATAAAAATAGTTACAATGTAAGATTGTCCCCCAACAAACCTTCTTAACCCCAGAATTATTCGCTCCAGAGAAGGGACAGCACTAAAGAATCCTATGAGGATTAAGCACCTACACAGATATTTTGCTTTTTGGTAAAATGCACATTCATAAATTTCCTCATATTTATCTTCTCCAGGTGCACAATTTCATGGGACTAAGACATGCACCATGCTGTGCAACCATCACCACTGACTAGTTCCAGAATTATCTCATCACCCCAAAAGGAACCCCATCCCCATCAGTGATCACCCCCTGCCCACCCACCCCAGCCCCTGGAAATCACTAATCTACCTTCTCTCTCTAAGGGTTTCTCTATTCTTAGGCTCATCCCAGAACACGGATTTAAAGTCTAGTGCTCCTTGATATTTTAAAGAAGTGGGTTCATACAATAATAATGTTTTTCAAAGTTAATTGCTAAAGCTAGCTTTATTAGGCAGGAGCCACTAGGTGATACTCTCCAGGCATCAATTATTGTCCAAGTTCAACAGCTATGAGAATGCAGCCCTGCTGTCCTAGATACAGGTTGGGGGAGCAACCTGAAGGTCTGCAGAGAGGATAAAAAACTGCCAGGAGGGTCTCAGGAAAGGTCACTGGTAGCCTGGAGGACGAATACCCTACACTTCTTGGAAGGAATCTGAGCAAGTGCAGAACAGAGAGACAGGGAGACAATCAGCAGAGCGGGGGGACTACCCAGAGGAGGAGGCAATATTTACACACCACACATCTCACAAGAGGCTCCTGTGCAAAACATTAGCAACTCAAACGACTCCAAAGCGAGAAAATACATAACCCACTAGAAGGAGGGCAAGGTGCCTGTGTGGACATCTCAGATGAAGACATGTGAATGGCCAGCAGGTCCAGGAAAAGGCGCTCATCATCACTCATCTTCGGGGACATGCAAATCCAAACCACAAGGCACCCCTCACGCCTGCTAGAGTGGCTGTTCCCAAAAAGACACATGGAACGAGTGTTGGTGAGGATTCGCAGGAGAGGGATCCTCTGCGCCCTGTGTTGGGATGTAAATTAGAGCAGCCGATATGGGAGACACTATAGAAGCTCCTCAGAAAATGAAAAGTGCAACAACTGCATGCTCCGGCAATCCTGCTCCTGGGCATGTACACAGAGGAAAGGGAATCAGGATGTGGGCTCCAAAACAGTGAAACTCTGGAGGGATGGAGGGAGGGAAGGTTGAAAAACTACCCACTGGTTGCTGGCCTCACATCCTGCGTGACGGGATGAGTCATACCCCAAACCTCAGCATTACTCAATATACTCATGTAACAAATCTGCACAGGTACGCCCCAAATTTAAAATAAAACTTGAAATTACAAAATAATTTTAAAAATAAAAGAAGTAAATAACATAAACAATAATGAAAAACCCAGTGGACTCAGGCGGAGCGCGGTGGCTCACGCCTGTAATCCCAGCACTTTAGGAGACCGAGGCAGGCGGATCACTTGAGGTCAGGAGTTCAAGACCAGCCTGACCAACATAGAGAAACCCCATCTCTACTAAAAATATAAAATTAGCCGGGTGTGGTGACACATGCCTGTATTCCCAACTACTCGGGAGACTGAGGCAGGAGAATTGCTTCAACCCAGGAAGCTGTGGTTGCAGTAAGCAGAGATCGAGCCATTGCACTCCAGCCTGGGCAACAAGAGCAAAACTCTGTCTCCCAAAACAAACAAACAAACAAAAACCCAGTGGACTCATAGTAGCAGTGAGTAGAATGGTGGTTAACAGGGCCGGGGTGGGGGTTGGGGAGATATAGGTCTAAGGGTATGAATTTGAGTTGAAGAAAGCAATTCAAGAGAACAATTGTTCAACACGGTGACTTCAGTCCATAACAATGTATTGTATAATTGGAAATCGCTAAAAGAGTAGATGAAAAGGCAGCTGGAAATTCTGGAATTAAAAGTGATTTTGCCAAGGGGCACCTGCTGCTGCTCAGGAGGCTGAGGCAGGAGAATCACTCGAGCCCAGGAGTTTGAAAACCGCCTGGGCAACACAGTGAAAGCCTGTCTCTAAAAACAGACTTTGTATTCCTAGAAACCACTTTGTTCCTAGAAACCACTTGGTATTTGCTGTCAGTTCCTAGAAACCACTTTGTACTCGCTGTCAGTTCATTTCCCGTTAAAACAAGCAATGGGACACAGGAAAAAATAAAGGCAGGTACGCAGGTTAATATTCAATTCTGGGAGTATATAGCAAGGTGTCTGGGCAAATGCCTGGGAAAATGAACCCAAATCTTTCTGAAACCAAGGCCCCAACCCAAATCTTTCTGAAACCAACCCCCCAACCCAAGTCTTTCTGAAACCAACCCCCGCAGGCCAACTCCAAAACCCCACAGACATTCCCACTGGGCACTTACCTCTGTCCCAGCTTCTGCCTCCAACCTCCTCTCTTCTGGGACGTACTCTCCAACTGGTCTGGAGCTGAACTGTGTCTATTTATAGAGAACCCGCGGGACTCCAGGCCTCTCTTCCAGTCCCCTGGGCCCCCACATGATTGGGTTAGGGCCATAGAATCCTTTGAAGGGGGATCAGCATTGATTACATTTCTCATTGAAACCCCACCCACAGGAAATTTAATGTATTAAAATGCCTACCGTGCAAATAACATAGGTTTTCCCACTCTACTGAGTTATATTTCATATTTCTGAAATATTTGGAGGCTTCAGGGACTGTAGATCTGCAAGTTTTAACCACTTTTGGGTCCCCTCAGGGCACAGACAGTGATATCCTAATGAGTAAAGGACGTGTTAAGAGTGGGTTGAATAATATCAAGCCAGTGATTTGCTCTAGTTTGAGGAAAGCTTTCACTTGTGAATGTCAAGATATTGAAGAAAAAGGACAGTCATTGTTGATACGTAATGAATCGTAGTGATAAGTTTTTACTTTTCAAAATCTGGGAATTGACATGGGAAAACTGCTTGAACTAGGCTAAATCACTGCTTTGATATCAGCCAACCTACCCTTAGGTAAAAACAGTGGGAACCAGAGAAAGGCACATGGTCCCCTCTCTGCATTCACTTTAGGATGGTAGGAGCTGGTTTATGGACACACGGAGGGCTCCCTAATTCTCAGCCCCCTCAGTGAGGCCTCTCGAGCGAGAAAAGCCTTAATGGTGGGTGTGAATTTTACTGTGTGGATCATGGAGTCCGTGTGGAATGACAATTAAGTACACTTTATACTGATTCTGGTTTCAATCCTTGGGAAATCTTAAGCCGCTGAATTCCGGAAACTTCAAACTCCCTGTCACTAGCACCAGGGAATTATTACCTTCCTGATGTGTTGTTTTGAAGATGAAATAAGATTATCTTGGCCGGACGTGGGGGCTTATGCCTGTAATCCCAGCACTTTGGGATGCCACGGAGGGCGGATCACAAGGTCAGGAGTTCGAGACCAGCCTAACCAACATGGAGAAACCCTGTCTTTACTAAAAATACAAAATTAACCAGGCATGGTGGCACATGCCTGTAATCCCAGCTACTCGGGAGGCTGAGGCAGGAGAATCACTTGAACCCGGGAGGCAGAGGTTACGGTGAGCTGAGATCGCACCATTGCACTACAGCCTGAGCAACAAGAGTGAAACTCCGTCTCAAAAGCAAAAAAATAAATAAATCAGTCAACAAAACAAAACAAAACAAAACAAAAAAAGATTATGTCAGTAAAGTGCCCAATACAAGGTCATTTTGCCAAAAAGTTCTGATACTTATTTCCTGATGAATTTTCTCATACTTTGTGAATTTTCCTTGTTAATAATTTTTTTTCCTTGTTAATAATTGAGGCGTTGATAGTGAGTCAGAGTTCAGAATGGAGTTCTTAAGTGGAATGAACTAGAATCTGCCTAAAACTACCATCTACCTACCCAATTCCCTCCAATCCTCTCTTCTTGAAACATGTCATGTTCCCATGAAGAATGTGTTTGTCATTTTGGTGGGGATTGTGATGGGTCTGTAGATCTCTGTTAATAGTGTGGTCATTTTCACAATATGAATTCTTCCGATTTACAAACATGGAATATCTTTCCATTTTTGTGCCCTCTTCATTTCCTCTCATCAATATTTTATAGTTTTTCTGGTAGCGGTCTCCTACCTCTGTGGGTGAATTTGTTTATTTATTTACTTATTTTTAGAGCCAAGATCTCACTGTGTCACCTTGGCTGGGTGCAATGGAAAACTCAGAGCTCACTGCAGCCTCGAACTCCTGGGCTCAAGAGATCTTCCTGCTCCAGCCTCCTGAGTATCTGCAGTTACAGGCAAGCACCACCATACTTGGTTAATTAACAAAGATTTTTTGTAAAGATGGGGGTATCGCTATGTTGCCCAGGCTGCTCTCCAATTCCTGGTCTCTATCCATCCTTGGGGACTAAGGTCACCATGCTGATGTTTACATATCCCTATACATAGTGTAATTATCACTACAGTAA